ATTCTTAACGATAAATGATTCTGTCACAATTAACCTGCCAATAAACATTTTCACTTCAGAAAAGAAAGCAGCCTCTGATATTTGTTCCTGAAGTTTGTTCTTGCAGCATGAAACCAATGTGTCTCACTGCTCTTATGTGACTGCTGTCTAGTCTGTAGTATTTTGAATGTAAGTGAGATTAGTAATGCAGCAGTGAATTATTGTTGTGAAGAGCTTATTTAAGTAAACACCATTAACCTAAAAACTAATAGGATAAAATGTATGTTACAGAAAAGTACCAATGTTAATAAAGTAAAACATTTTTTTTTCTGTTTTTGCCATTGGTATCTTTAAAATTTAAAATGTATTCTGGGACAGTGGGCTACTTTTAAGCATTCTACTAACAGCTGCTGGCCTTTTACTACTCCACCCAGACTTAAAGGTTTCCTGTTGATAGTTGTTAGGTCAGTTTCCATATGAGAGTAAAAGACAAAACCCTTTGGCCTACAGCACAGATCAACAATGATTTCAGACCAGACTTCTCAGTATAAAGTGCTGAAGAGGGACAGAGAGAAAAACCAATAATTATATTCTTGAGAGCAGGAAGGAGGTCATGTAAGATGTTTTTGGAGTTATTAAATATAAGGGCTTCATCAAAACTGTCTTTTGATTTGCAGTTTTCTTCTTTTAGCCACACAATGTCACAGTAAAAAAAGGTGTTAAATATAGAGCAGAAAACAGGAAGTGCAGTGAGCCACCAAGTGTTAAAGTGAAGCAAAAACTGAACTAATACAACAAAAACACAGTACAAACTACAGTCTTATCTTCTTCTTCATATTAACAGAAGTTAGCAATGCAATGCATGATCAGACTTCTTTATTGTGATTTATGAAATGAGACCACTACTTCGGATTTAATTTTATGATTAATCAATCAACACAAAGCCTGTATGTGCTGTCTGATCGGTGTCTCTCTTCACTTCCTCCACTTGCATCTCTGGTGGGAGGGACTAAGATGCCACGAGAGGAATAGAGGATGTACAAACTGGAAAATGAGAGAGGCCTACTGAATATATTGAAGTAAATCATAATGTGAAATCCAAAGTGACTTGCATGTTTCTCTCATATACAGAAAAATAACATTCCATATCCATTGTGGAGCAATATTACATGTACATGTATCTCACATTCTTCAGTTAAAGGTACCCAGTGGAGTTTTTGACCAATAGCAGAATTATGGAGCAGTTGTTTTATGAGTGAGTCTCTGTTTTATTCGAACTGTGCATGTCCAAGTCTGCAATCTTAAAAAATTGGCTGTTGCAAATGTTTTAGGAGGGAAATGAAATTATACAAATGCTGTTCATTTTTCTTGATTAGCCATTGATTATACCCAATAATGACTGTGCTTCATTTGTAAATAAAATTATTTTATAGAGACGACCATGATAGAAAATTCTTATATATTATATTGAAAAAAGAACAACAGCATACAATAAATAGCCTCGATCAATACACTATATGTAATACTGTGGTTCTATTTACAATGGTCTCAAAAATATTTAATATATGTACATTTAATAAAATGCAATGTTAATGTGAGCAAAACACTGATAATTGACAATATTTAATCTTTTTCTTTAACTAAGCAAAGCACTTTCTGGTACATACACCATTATTGGACACGAGTTAAAGCTGTAAAATTATCTTTTATGAATTTATGAAGCCAAAAGATCTTGTGTCACTGACCTCTTTTTACTTACTTTATATTGTTAAACTGCATTTCATTGTCTCAGTACTTGTACACAATGACAATGACAATAAAGTTTAATCCAATCTGAATCTAATATTTTGAGTTTTTCAGCAAGAAATCGATCAGAGTTCGTCAGAGTCATCGGAGGGACCACTGATACACTGAATGCACAACAACAATGAATAACAATTATGAACTGAACTTAATGGAACAATTATTGAAATGTTTTTCAACTCTACAAGGACAAATCATTTGATTTTAAATGTAGTAAAGTCAAATTTTCAGTTGAATATTTTAAGTCTGTTTTTAGAAACAAACTATTAAAGTACCTAACAGGAAATTATTTAAATTCTGTTCAGAGAGGCCAATTGTCTTTGGTTGCCACTATACAAGCTGCAAGCTAATCTACATAACACAAGATCATTAAGTATTGTAAACAATAACATACAATTTATAAAAAATATAGAACAAAAATAGAAATGTATACATAATATAATTTTTCTGAAGCTTTTAAATGATCTGCTGTGAGGTTCCTATGTGTGTTATAATGGCTGCAGTTCTTCGGGTTGCATTTTAACAGTAATGTAATGTGAACTTGTGTACAGGTGAAAAAGTAAATTAAAGGCTCAACTCCAGGAACCCAAGCTGAGGCCTCCTTCCATAATTGATAGTGAAACGGCTCTTCATGAGGTTTGAATTTATATAGGACCTAATGTGATGAATTTAAAGTGTGAAGGTGGGTGCATCCAGTGTCACCAGCATACAAACTGGAAACTGTTGCACCTGCAGTATGTGGACACTTCTTGATGAACTGTTTCAGGACCTGGCAGTATTTTCTACCTCAGCATACAGGCTGTCTGGTAGAGGGTCGACTCTAGCCTCAGTGGGTCCAGTGTGAGTTCCCACCAAGGAGTACATTGTAGAAGAATCTGAAGCATCATTAGTTGGATTTGGAGGCTGGGCCACAGTTTCCATCTGCAAAATACATAACATACAACATTTTTAGTAAAGGTTGCCATTTTTACTTTACACTGTATTTCTAATGGTGTTGTTATACTGTATAAACATGTGAAGTAATCACACTATTAACAGGAGCTCATATATATTCATCAATAACTACAATATTTTGTATCATTGGCTACAAAAGTGAGAAGAATGATTTTCATAACATTATAATCAATTTGTAATTTTATCTAAAATGCATAAAACAGCTGTAAAAACATTTTTAGGCATTTTTCATCAAGAGCAGTAAGACACTGAACATTGTTTCACTGTGTCCAAAAAGAGGTGACAGTTACAACACACTGCAACTAGAACTCAAGCAAATAAAGAAAGCATTCACACGGCTTTACAACACATGCAGTACGTTGCATTTATAAAAAGATAGAAATGTGTGTATATATATATATGGAATATATGAAAATATGGAAATTACACATTTTCTCTACAATATTCTCAACATTCACTGTGTAAGAATATGCAAGTACAACATTTGTGGCTCACTATGAAGTCACGTCGCCCGTCAACTTTTGGAACATGTATTTCCTGTTTTAGTGTTTGTGTCACTTACAGTATTCTCAGAAATGTTGCTTTTGTTTCTAAAACTGCATCAAAATGATGGAAAAACTATAATAAAACACAAGCTAACAACACTTGAGCAGAATAAAGAAACGCATTGCAGATTGAGTGGAGGGTGCATCATCAGGTTTATCTGGTCAGAAGCGATACATTTGAGCACAAGGAAGCAGAACCACCAGTGACGTGTGTATCTAGAAAGAAGTCACAGCCCTGTTTCCTCAAATCCAGTCTCAGTTGTTATGTGATGTTAAAAACTTACCTCTGGATCTGCATATACTATATTTTCGGTGTTCTCTCTTTTATCTGCAGGTCATAAAAAACACATGTTGCTTTAATTTACATTTCATTTTTAGCAGGCAAATTTTGGATTTGAAGCTTCATATTTAGCTTCCATATTTAGGATTTTTATTTATTGTGATGCAATATTGATACTGATTGATAGTTCTAGGAATAACTTGTATCAAAAAAGGTGCTTTGGCAAACAGCAATGTTCACTGATAACCCATTTCCTTCCTCTTGGGATCTCACCTGAGATCTGGCCTGGGGATGCTAAGAGTGAATGGGCTAAACCATTAAGATCACACCAACTTATAAGATCACTAGAAGGCTGTGCAGTAAACAAATAGGATTTTATAGATTTTATGTTGTAATTCTATGTTACAATGCACACTTGGACTTACATTTTCTTCTCTTTCGATGATAACAAACTGCAGAGACTGCAATAATGAAGATTGTAATGGTAACAAGCACAATGACAATGACAATGACATTGATGTCGTTGTGGTGTGGTCCAGAATCTGTAAAGAAAAACAAAAGCCAGATTAGAAAATGATGCCTGGTTTAAGTCAAACAACATAAATACTGTTTACAGACTGCAGTTTTAATTATACAGGTTTATTGGTAAAATACCTCATCTGTGAGATAAATAATTTAATAATAATGAATTCAATTAAAGACTACTGCCTGGAGCTAAACATCACTAGCCACTTTCGAAAGATCTCTAAACCAGCAAGTTTAAATACCACCTTTCTCTTAGTTTTACGAGGCCACCCAGGTAGAGGTTAATAATGATAGCTTGTTTATATTAATATGACAGCTGAACAGAAAATTCAACTGACTATTTAGCTCAAAAACTAACCGATAGATTAGGCTTATCATTTTTGATTTTACCAGTTTTCACTGAAATATAAAATTAAATTAAAACAATAATTAAAATTATGATTTTCTATCCCTCCTCTACGCACACATGTTATTATATTTCCTGTCAAAGAAACTGATGTTCAAAGCAGTTTACAGTAAAATAGGTAATCTTGAGATGAAAACAAAAATACTTTTGTTTTGCACCGAAACTGGAGCTTTTGAAATTCCACACTTAATTGTTCTCAAAGAGGTAATTCCTGCCACCAGAACTTTCTTTCTTTCTTTCTTTCTTTTTACTTTAGGTATATTAGTAGCAGTATAATATTTAGTATTCCAACCCTTGCGCAACACAGGGTTGATTAGATAGTTCAAAACTTATTGTCTTGGACATATAAAAGTTAATTTAAAAACAAAATGCTAACAGTCTCTAAGTTGAACCTAATCCAAATGTTCATACATTTAACTGGAGACACTGCATCTGGGAAGGGTTAGTGGGGAGGGGGTTAGAAACAGCAGAAACCCTCTATTAGTGTCTGAAACATTCACAAACCTACCTTGAACTGTGACATTGTATTCAGTTAGTTCCTCTATATCCCTTGTCACTCGTGCAGTATAAAATCCACTGTCTGCCTCTTGTAGATTCTTCACTTTCAGAGAATAATCATTCACTGAAAACTCAACTCTTCCAGTGTAAGCAGGGAGGACTGTTGGTTCTCTACCAGGTGAAAATCTTACTAAAACATCCTTTTTATTGAACTTCCACACAACAGAAAAAACGTCCTGAAGAACATCAGCTTTCGTGACATTCAGAAGAACATCATTTCCCTTCTGCACAAACACAGGAGTCACAGCACTGGACCCTGTAAAAACACACATAATACAATAAAAAAAATTATACACAACTTATGATGATTTGGTCAATACTGAATCTTACTCCATTCCTAACATACTGGATCATCTGTTGAAATGAAGAAGCACCTTCAGCTTATTCATCAAGGGTTGGAAAATGTCTTTAAAAGTGCCTTGAATTGATATAGAGGAGTTTAACAAAGGTCCAATGAAAGTAAGATGTTACATAAAGTTTTTATTTTTATTTTCAACATAACAGAGTCTTTCCATTCAGTCTCTCCTGGAAACTGGGGACTTTATTATTGTTAACCCACATGTGTCTGCTGCCTGGGACCAAAGCAGCTGAAAAATGTATAAATAAACAAATAAGAAAAATATATAACTACAAACACAGGGAAAACATGCAAACCCCACACAGAAAGATGGATTATAAATAAGGCAAATTATTCACTTATAGCATTTGCCTGATTATAGCGCTTTCAAATTATTCTAATGCAAAATGTTTCGTTTTAACTATAACCACTATCTTTCCCTAACTTTAGCAAAGCTGTTTTAGTCACCTAAAACTGACCGAACGTACGAAATGTTGTGTACATACATAACCATACCCAATCATACATACATAGGGAGCATATAAAAACAAATATATGGAAGATAGAACAAGACGGAAAGAAAAAATCAAAAGAGACACGACAGAGATAAGTAAACAAACAAAAAGATCTATAAGAAAGCTTGCCTATAGAGGTGGGTTTTGAGGAGCCGCTTAAAACAGTCCACGGATTCAGCAAATCCCAGTGAGTGGGGAAGACTATTCCACAATGTTGGGGCTAAAACAGCAAAGGCACAGTCACCTATAGTTTTGCAGTTAGAGCTGGGAATGGATAAAAGGCCTAGAGAAGTTGAATGAGGAACAAGGATATCTGAAATGTAACTGGGGTCATGAAGTGCCTTATATGTAATCAGTAAGAGCTTATAGTTCAATCTGACTTTTACAGGAAGCCAATGGAGGGATGTGAAAACACAAGTAATGTGGGACAGATGGCTGGTTCTGGTTTAAGGTTTTGGACTAACTGTAAACAATTTAAGGAAGCTTGACTGAGGCACGTATAGAGGGAATTGCAGTAATCTAGACGGTAGAAAATGAAGGTCTGAATTAATTGTTCAAGATCTCTGAAGGACAAAAAGCTTCTGATTTTTGCAATATTTCGACTGTGAAGTTTTGTAACATAATGGTCAAATGCCATATACTGGTCAAAGATGATACCCAGATTCCTAGCAGTGGATTTGATATTTGTGCATAATGACATCCAGTCTTTGGTGGCGGCTCAGCAATCATGGAGGGAGGACAGTTGATTGAGGTTATTGGGTTTCGCAGAGGAGTAGATCTGTGTATCATCGGCATAACAGTGATATGATTGGAAGCAGCTCAACAAATGACCCAGAGGAAGCATGTACAGGGAGAACAGAATTAAACTAAGAACCGACCCCTGAGGGACACCACAAAGCAGGGAAACAGAAGACATTAAAGTATCTGTTAGTCAAATAGAATTAAAAAAACAGTTTGAAGCTGTTCCAGAAATGCCAACCCAGTTCTATCAAGTAAAATGGCATGATCAATATTATCAAAGGTAGTAGTCAGATCGAGAAGAATAAGGATGGAGCTTTCACCTTTGTCAGCATGCATAAAAATGTCATTAGACACTAAGTAATGCTGTCTTGGTGCTATGTTTTTGACAAAAACCAGATTGAAATTTGTCAAAGATTTTTTTAAGGATTTCAGATAAAAAGGGAAGTTTGGAGCTCTATAGGTCTATAGCTTTCTAGTTGGTCTGGACTGAGAGAAGATATTTTAAGAAGTGGCTGAACACAATTTTAAAATGGTCAGGTACGGACCCAAATAGGGTTAGGGGTGCGTCCCACCCTGCCCCATTGTTAAGTATCTCTCCTACACCTTTTTCTTCTGTTCCATTGCTGCTTTACATTAGTTTGCCTTCCATGTTGTTCTCTCTTGGGTAAAAAAACAATATGTGTGTGCTTTCTGGTTACCACTTTTAACACTTATGTTTAAACTACAAGGCATTTAATTTTTCATGAACATTATACAAAGAAAAGTGTATGTTGAAACTGTGTGAACAAGCCGATGAACAGTCTAACACTGATCAAACAACAAAGGAAGTGGGTTAGCAGCAGTTATATTCCGTTCACCTGTGAGTTATAAGTGCAGCAGCAATTCTCCAACAAATATGGACAATGACAGTCCTTCTTCTTCCACATTACAATGTAATATCAGTTTGCATTGTATGTTTCATTTCAATAACTGCTGGAATTACTGTAGCCTAATTCTTTGTTTGTGTATCTCACTTGGTTATAAGGACTGTAATCCATCATATACAGTACAGCAAGGTTTAAACTGCTTTGTATTTTGTTTCTAATCTAATCTTTTTATGTTAAAGACACATACCTAAGATACAAGTTAAAACATTTTCAAACATATCTTAACTGTAATCCTTCCTGTTCACATTGGCTCTGAGGAAATCTCCTTCTAGTGTAACGTTTATGTAAAAAAAATACTTTTTTGATTTAGCTAACTCAAACTGCTTAAATTATCATATGCTATTGGTTGAATCACAAACACTTTATTGATCCCCGGGAGGTAACGTGTGCAGTTGTCCTGGAGTTATGAGCCAAGTGATTACACCATTTGAGATGATAATGGTCAATTATCCTCACCCTCTGAGCTATATTCCACTTCTCCCATACTTCACTGATTTAGTTCTACAGTACAAAAAACTAAATAGTAAATATTAATTAAATAGAAAAAGTGTGTTTTACCTTGCAGTTGACACAGACACACCAGGAAAACAGCACACACATACATGTGATCCATTCTGAGATGTGACAAATAAGGAAGTGCTTTGTCTTTTAAAATAACTTCCAGCCATGGGGAGGAGGATCGCAGTAATACCACAAGAGATTGCACAGCTCTTCACACATGCAAGTTAAACGGGACATATTATGCAAAAACCAACTTTTTAATCATTTTATTATGTACATTTGGGACTCTGGAGGGCCTATCAGCAGCAAAGTGTGGGAAAAAATGACTCAATCATGTTTTTGTGGGCTGCCTCAGTCAGAATATAGGAGAGAAATCACACAGGTTCAGAAGTGTGTAGTTTGTGACTCACATGCCCTCCCTGTTGCCACCCACCTCTCTTTACTTCCTGTTGACTATCGGAGCTCCGCCTTGTTACTATAAAAGGCAAGCTAGCGGAGAATGAGCAAGTCCAGCCTGCAGCCTGCAGACAAATGGAAAGCAGCCTAATGTCTGGGCAAAGGCCTCAGCAGACAAACTGTTCAGTCATTGGCTGCACAGCCCAACACTAATTTACATATGTAACTCTGTAACTGTTGTGGGTTTGTGTCGGGGGTAATTGGCTTTATGTTGGTCTGTATTTAGTTAAACGTGCTCAGTCAGTAATATGTTTGTGTCGCTGTTAGAAAGAGCAGAAAACCTCCGAGTGAACAAACTGTAGCTGCTCATCAGCTGTTAGCTCACTGAGCTAGCGCTAGCTTTGTTATTCTGGAGCCATTGTCCTGCTCCGCTCTTTGTGTGTGTGTGTGTGTTACCAGAGTGCACCAGAGTTAACAATAGAGCTACAGTGAGAGAGAAATAGTCAAACTGCAGGGATTCCTTAGTTTAGTATTACTGTGTAACTTTGATTAGCACCCAGCAGCTGGGGTTGCTCACTAGGCTTTTTGTGGAGTCAAACCGACGAATAAAAGTTTTCTGATCCATTTATTTAGCGTTACTGAAGTACTGCTTTTACTGACGATATAAGTGTAGGTCCAGTGTAACATCCTATACTCATATAATCTCCTATTGTATTATAAACACTGAGGCTCACTGCTGAATGTCTGTTATTGCACCGGGAACTTGTTACAACATCAGTTACAGTCAGTAAATGTCCTGTGTGTGTGTGTGTGTGTGTGTGTGTGTCTGCTGCCATTAGATAGACATTGTGTTGGTAGCCTCAGACTGTTTCAACAACACATCACTACAGTTAGCTGCAACAAGGAACCCACCAGAGACACTGCTTTATTATTTTAGTTTATAACTTAGGAATACTGTGAGCCACAATGAGCTGTTGTAACTTGTATTATATTATACTGTATTATATTATACTGTATATTATATTACACTGTATATTATGTGCTGCCTTACAAGTAACACTGAATCCTCCATGTTTTACAGGTGACCTGATGAAGCTCAGGTGTTCCTGGACCCATCAGAGGACAGAGACAGCTGCAGCATCAGGACAGTCTGGGTATCCAAAGGAAGACTGATGAAGATGAACACTGACTGCAGAGCTCACACTTCAATAAACTAGAAACCATAAACCTTGATGGAGAACAGGATCTGCACAGTTCACATAAAAGTTATAGCTTTGTTACTTACAACATGTGTAACTGGAATATGAATGAAATATAAATAAAGTGTTTTACTTTTAAGAAGAGTTTTGGTTGTTTTTAAATTCAGTAATAAGTGTGGTTTTATATAAATAACATGTTATTTCACAGAGGTTTTATGAAGATTTCCTGGATGTACAAGAGTTGAAAACCTGATTCGTGTAACATCTATCCATATGAAAATGTGAAATTTAAACCTGTATTAATGACTGTAAGCAACACAATACATTACTGTCTCACATTCAAACTTTATTACATTGGAAGATAAATGACATCATAATACAGTATATAATATAAATGATAGAATATTCAGTATACAGTATTTTTAATACTAGGGTTCAAACATAATTGCAGCTTTTACACATATCTGAAGGTGAACTTTGGTAATAATACTTTTAAGTTAAAATATCAGACTATGAAATATGATTTAAACCACATGAACAAGTTACTTTATTAGATGAGTGATTCCTTCAGTTATGTTGACATGTTGTACAGGATAAAGTATTCCAGGTTTCTGTTTCCATGGTCTCAGTAAACTAATGTGTATAAAGAATATAACAGATGGGAGGTTACAGTAATCATTATACTATTACTCTGATTACTTTGGTACATTTACTGGGTGTTTCTTCACTAGAAACAACTGCTTGACTAATGTTGTTAATATTATGTAATATATAATATGTTTAACTTCACTGGGCTGTGTAGACTGTAGGTCACTGCTCACTGCTGTACCTGTAAAGACAAGCATAAAACACAGTGTTGGTTCTCATAGTTAAGGTATAAACACTAACATTATGTGATAGATAGAGGTTAATATATATATTAGTTATATGTATGTATATGTAGTTAATATAGCAGTATTTACCTGAGGAAAACGTCACAGAAAGCTGTAATCCTGATTGTTGTTGTTGTTCATTTCTCCGTGATTTCAGGTCAGACTCCCGCTCTAACATGTCGGCTGGTGAAGTTTTTGCTTTAGAAGCAGTTATTGAATTAATATTGACGGTAGAAATGCAGATAAACTCAGTAACAGTGAGGAGCTACCTGCTGGCAACGTTAAATTAAGAATGTAAATTTTAACACCAGCTTTGATGGGTTTCATCACAGTAATGTTATATAATTTAGTTTAAAGCTCAAAAATCACATTTTTAGGGCGGAGTACTTCTACTTACTCTTTTGATCAAAAACATTGCTCCGAAACTTAATTCTCATCCTTGGATATAGTCTTTTTATGTAAATGTATGCCCCTTAAATTTTTAGATGGATGACGCAAACAAGATTTAGCTCTTGTGGCAGCAGTGGCTGAAGGAAGTGTAACTTTTAATAACCATAACAGCACAAATAATTCACATAAAAATATACAGTTTTTATTTATTTCATACATACACTAAATGTAAAACAAAATGGAGGCAAGAAAAACGGAAACTTCTGGGAACTTTCATCAACAGGCTTGAGAGTTCAGTTCACGTATGGTTCACTTCTATGTGAGAAAAACAGAATATATTTTACATGACTGTAGTCAACATGCTGTATGGAATCTCATATGGCCAATTCTAGGACTTCATGTAGTTCATCTCAACCCTCACAGCTATCCAGATGACTCAAAAAAAATTATCTCATTGTCTCCTGATAACAAGAGCACTGTAGTCTTGCTGTTATTTAACTTTTAACCAACCACTTAAACCACTAAACAGAAAAAATAACATATAGTCTCTCTACTGTATGTGCTGTCAGAAGGACTGGGGGAAGTACGTGTGTGGAAGAAGTCCCTTGTAGTTTCAGCTAATATATATCAGGAAGCACTTTGGCATCTTAGGCCTTGTTTAATATTCCGCATTATACCCACAGCTACTTTAAACATGTTTTAGGCGCACCTAGCGTGTGCTCCTGTCCCTGCAGCTTTATTGTAGAAGTTTTTAGACACACGTATAAAAGTTAAAATATTATAAACTTAAAGTTACACATCAATGTCACACTCAACCCAGGCAGCCAATCAAATCAAGTAAGATGTGGTCTTTATCTCTTCCTTCCTATTCTGATGCTGGTAGATGAAAGAGCAAGAATGTGTGAACGAAATGGGGAATTCATAAGTCATACTGTGATAGTTTCATTTAGGCTCGTTGTCTTTGAAAGAGACAGTTGCCGCACTTGTAGAAATGCGTCTGTGTCTGATCAGCCCTCAGATTTTTTCATGACACTAAACAGCCTACCTTACGTTTATCCATAATGTTACAGGACACCTAGCAGAACACATTCCAAAAATGATGATATAAACAGTAGGGTTTTGAGACTAATCGGAAAATATGGGAAAAAATTTGTTCATGCTGTGCTTTAAAGCTAGACAGAATCGCAAGAGGGTCCAACATCCCCTTTGTGCCAACATGTTAGAAGACCACTCTGGCTGAGTTATCCAACAAGTACCTGCCATGGTTTAGTTGTGTAAACACACCGATCAACCATAACATTATAACATTATAACCACCTGGGCCTGCGGGTGGTCGTAATGTTATGCAGCCCCATACACAACAAACTGTGATGCACTGTGTGTTCTGACACCTTTCTATCAGGACCAGCACTTTTTCAGCAATTTAAGCTACAGTAGCTCGTCTGTCCACGTCCAACCTTTGCTCCCCACGTGGATCAATGAGCCTGGGCCACCCATGAGCTTGTCTCCGGTTCACCGCTTTTCCTTCCTTGGTCCACTTTTGATAGGTACTGACCTCTGCAGACCGGGAACACCCCACAAGAGCTGCAGTCCTGGAGATGCTCTAACCCAGTCGTCTAGCCATCACATTTTGACCCGTGTCAAAGTCACTCAAATCCTCACACTGCCCATTTTTGCTTCTTCTAACAATTCAACTTTGAGGGCAAAATGTTCACTTGCTGCCTAATATATCCCACCCACAGGTGTCATGATGATGAGATAATCAGTGTTATTCACTCCACCCGTCAGTGGTCATAATGTTATGGCGGATCGGTGTATATCTTATCAGTGGCTTTCAGCTCTTGTGTTGGTTGTTGGGGGATTTGTATTTAGTTTTGGCAGATCTGTCAACCTGAGCGTACACAGTCTCTGGCAAAGAGGTGTCGCGTGTCGTAGATTCTCTTGGTCCAGGTCCAGTGTGAAATTGCACCAGGCAGTAGGTAGAGGTTGGAGAAAGACTTGAAGCATCTGGTGTAGGATTCTGATTCAGAAGTTGGGCCGGATTGATGTCCTATAAATGAATCAAATTGTTGTTAGGAAAATAAAATGCTTGCCACCATTGCTTTATTTTACTGTATATATCCAAACCAGCTGTTCAAAGAGAACTCATCCAACATGTTTGAATATATTCATCTGGGAGTTCTTCAGTTTACATCAAGACATTAGAACACAAGAAAGCAGCACAGAGAGTGACGTCTACATATAGCATGCAGCAGACTGGAGGCAGCAGCTGTTGTAGGAGGTAATTTAGATGGACTGCATGTAAAACAGTGTTAAGGGTGTTACATACTCGCCGTTCCCGACCTGTAGCGAGACAATGTGACGTCAAAATAACGTAGATCTCGCTGGCGCGCCAGGATTTAGGCCAGGTCGCGCCAAGTCGTGCACCACTCTATTTTTTTCAGCTGAGCGCGCCAAAGCAGAAACAGGAAGATGGACGAGTTCGAGGGCAAGCTTTCCAAGCAAGTGCGCCTCTACAGGCATCTGTACGATCCTTTAATGAAGGCACACAGAGATGCCCAGAGGTGCCAGAATTCATAGCGAGAAATCGCCATGAATGTTGGAAAAGAAGACGCCATATGCCGGAAAATTTGAAAGAATCCTCACGACCTCTTCTTCTTCTAGTGCGTAGAAATAGCAAAGTCGGTAGCCTTTCCTCAGTTGCGACACCTCTGTTCAGGAGAAGACTGCAACTAGTGTTGCGACCACCACGCGCAAGTATAAATAGTTACGGCGCTCCTGTGACGTCACATTGTCGCGCTACAGGTCGGGAACAGCGACTATGTAACAGCCTTTATATGCTTAGTTGGATTTCTTTTGTTAGTGTTATATTTAAATTTATTTTTAAGTATTTCTTTATTCCTTAAAATCATGCCTTTATTGTTAAACTACACACTGTGTAAAATTATGTTCCTCAGTTTGACTAGAAAAGTTTGGAAAGTGTGTTGTGTGGAAAAAACACTTGCCTGAGGAACTTCATATACTGTATTTCCGTTGTTCGGTTCTTCAAATTCTTTATTTCCGTTGCGCTTTTTTTTATCTGTAGGTCAATCATAAAAAATAAAAAATAAAAACCATTGATGATTTGAAATTTAAATTTTTCTTAATTTCTTTGTAAAATGTTACATTTTACATCTGTGTTTGAGTTATTATTATAGGTCAGAGTTATTGTTAGTTTTTATATTACAGTTGGGTTATTAGATTAAAACAAGCCTTTGTTGGGTGGTAAAACTTTTCAAAGCATTTTTTGTTTGTAATTTTACAAACTTCTGGGGTGGCAGGCCATAATATGTTTGACAAATGAGCTAGCAGCGTTTGTTAGTAGAGGTTGAGAACAAAAACAGCTACAATATGATGTTATCACATTCAAAATGTAAAATGACAGCTCGACAGCTCCCAACTCGTCAAATACTGCCGCTTGGTCAGTGTGTCGTGAACACCAACCTGATTATTCTGGAGGGTTGTGACTCCAAAAGGTTAAGATGCATACTCATTCTTGCTAACTTGATCGTGGAGCCCTGTGCCTCAAGAAGTGACACCAGAGGGATACTCATTGCGTTATATTGTAAAACATAGGGGGCAGTATTTAACGATTTGGGAGTGAGAACATGTTGAAAATAATGGTTCCTTACATTTGCTGGCAAGTTTTTTGAATTAGTACAGCCCACAAAATGATACAGTAGATACAGTATCTAGCAAAATTAATGATGATAGCAAATCTGCTTTTCCAAAAACAAGATTAGCAGGGACATTTTTTTGCAAATGAAGTTCAAAATAAAATGTTTTGAACAGTTGACTGCAAATAATTAGAGAGGGATTGCGGGAAGGGGCGACAAACATAGAGAAACAAAAGTTAAACCAGACATAATAAACAAACAAGTGCTCTAAAGCGTAATTCAGGTTCAACGTCTGTTCTACAGATGGGTGACAATTTAAAGGAAAAACCAACACAAACCTAGTTTCTCTCCATTCTCCTGTAGTTCAATTAATGTCATTTTTCTCATCCAACCATTCAATGACCCCTTGTGTCCTGTATGAAAAGTGTCTGAATTTGTAATGTTCCTCCACTCATTCATCAGGTTTTTCATTTAATTTGTCACCAGTCTTTAAAACCTCAGGTCATTTGCCTCAAAGTATTTTTTTTTTCCAGCTGTTCTGATGGTTTGCCTAGTCATACAAGGAAACTTCTCTTGTGGGTATAACGGGTTACGCTCGGCTGCAACTCTGTATTTCTATGTAATTGCAGCAATTATGAAGATTTTATTACATTGTTATTGTGGTGAAAAGCATGCTGGGACTTACATATTAAGAAAAGGCCAAGGCAAACCAAGGCCAATACAGTTGCAAGTCCTGTTGCAATCGAAATCGTGATGGCTGCATTCAAGGCTGTAAAGAAACAAAAGAACTTGATCAGAAATATTCACTTCAAGGTTGCACTTTTAATTTTACAAATATTTCTAAAAGGGCAGAACTGTTCTAGAAGTAGAAATAATCTCTCTGTCTGAGTTTAATCTTTTTTTTGTGACCAGTGTGTGTTTTTGGTATTTGGTGACATATCTATTGATGATGATCTGCATATGACAATTACAACACTTCCCCCACACAATGTAAGCCCTGCTGTTTAGAGCAGAGAGACAGTGGGATTGGCTGGCTGTATCAAATATATTCACAAGAAAAACATCATGTGAAAAACTTCATGAAAAGTTATTTTCATGAAGCTGCATTAGACAAAGGATAATATTGCTAAGTGGAAAAAAGGCACCCCAGCCACTCTATATTTCCACCTTTACCAAGGTCTATAAGACAAACATTAAGAGTACAAATGAGATCTGACATTTTTCAGAAGCTAAAAAAAAAGATGTTCAAAAATAAAAAATTTTTTTGCTGAATGAGTAGATTTAAACTATCAATCACTGTTTGTTATGATGTCTTTTAATCTTACCTGTTCCTGTTTGTTTCTCACAGAGAGGTTTAATCTCCAACGTGTCCTGTTCCCAGCTGACCTGGTTGCTATGGTTACAGATGATGAGGCCTTGCTGCAGGTAGACTTCGATAGAAGGATAGGTTGTGACCTCTGATCTCTCTCTTCCCTCTGGAGAGCAGGTTTGGTTGACACACCTGTAAGTGCTGCTGATGTGAGAGTCCGTTGTACTGCAGATCACAGTGAGGTTACAGGAGCTGCTGGGGTTCACCTCCAGCTTAACTGGAGACACTGGATCTGGAAGAAAAAACATTCAGTAGTTGTGAAGGGTTTTATAACAGGGTACTGCTGTATGTCAACATTTGAAATGTTAAGAAACTTACCCATAACTGTGACCTTGTATTCAGCTACAAGATGTTCTTGTTTACCAGAAACTTTTGCAATGTATTCTCCACTGTCTTTCTTTTGTACATTCTTCAAGACTAAAGTGTAATTTTCTTTATAAAATTCAGCTCTATCCTCAAAATTCAAAATTATCGCATTACCATTAGCTAATTTTACAATATTTATTTTGTCATTGAGTGTCCATTTAAAATCACTGCCTTTTACTTGTAGTAGTGGAGTTACAGGTTTGTTGACCTCCAGGAATAAATCTTTTCCTGTCTGCACAAACACAGGAGTCCCAGTGCTGGTACCTGCAGAAAGAACAGATATCAACATCATGTAGGTTTAAGGCATCTGTATCACTTGAAAAGTGTTTCTCATAGTCACCATCCAATACATTCATACACAAATACAACCCCAAATGAATGCTAGTGTTGCTATATCAAGAACAAGGTGACATAAAAAAAATATATAAATACAATTTGTTATTGTTATTGATTACTTCTGTTACTGTTTACTGGTTTACATCAATGTCCTGGTGTGACCACCTACTATGTAACCTACTAAATATAATAATCATGCTATTATCCCACTAATCATTATTTCTGACAGGCTAACTTCTGAAGCTTTATAGGCTCTCCTCGCTCTCCCAAACTGTATATTGTGTATCCTTATTATTTCAAACATACATTCTATACATAACAACTACAGAGGAAATCTTCTGTTCAGTGGTACAACATCCAGAGATAACTCAATTTAATGTAGTACTGAATTTAAAAAGTGGATGTAATCTTAATCATGATTAGCACTGTTGTGTGTGTGTGTGTGTGTGTGTGTGTGTGTGTGTGTGTGTGTGTGTGTGTGTGTGTGTGTGTGTCTTCACTGTTACATATATAAATATATACTTGACAAGACTGCATTAAGTTATGCAGGAAGTGAATTATGCGGAAGTCTGGTTTCTTCATGTTTCGTGGAAGAAGATAAAGATATTCATGTTTTTCATCTCTTTTCTCTAGAAAATACTCTGACACCCTCAGATGCTACAGGGACGATTTCAAGTTCTGTTTTGTCTTAGAGCTTTATTTTTAATTATTTTCAGTAACCTAGGGGTTAAAGTTGCGTGAAAGCTGACATCAGAGTTTTTAGAAAACTTTTTTTTATATATATATGTACCCAAGACTTCTGGGATAGAAGTATTGATACTGTATAGATTATCCTGGTGAAATAAAATAACTGTATTGATTAATGACTTCAGATGAACTCTACACTAGATAATTTTTTGTTCTGTATAATATAATCGTGCAGATTAACGGCAGGGTGGGGTTACTGAGTATACAGGGCACTCATGTGTGGAGGTGCCCATAGAGAACGTCTGTGTACAGGGTGAAAATGTTGTGCTATGTCTCTGCACTGAGATCACATCATTGGTATTTTTTAAGAGAATCTGGGGTTTTTAGAAAGAGTTTACATCATGCAGTTAAAAACTGCTATAACCTGTTTCCACACTTCTGAATTACTGCCTACATCTCTGGTTTTTCAGTCAATCAGTATATCAAGTATTTCAATATAAATAAACAGTTAAATCTTAAAACAGCTCATCTCAAGGTCAATCAGTCTACTGTTATCTGCTGGGTTAAAATAAGTTTTTTTTAAATCTGTCTGGATCGAATGGGTGGGGTAACTAATTTTACTGTATATCTCAATATATCTCACTAAAAAAGTTATAGTTTTACAGTTTACTGGCATCACTATTGAAATAATTCCCAAAGAGCACATTGCATACATTTCTCAGTATTACTGTATATAGTTCAGAAAAAAGTTTTTATCAAACATTTATTGCTTTAATAGTCATACACAGTACCAGAAAGGTCTCTCAACAATGGGAATATAAATAAAAAAGTTCTTACCTTGTGTTTCACACAAATGCAGCAGAGAAAGAGCAAAGAGAAGTACGACTATGGGCCCCATTCTTCTAAATGTGGGTAACGAGGAAGTGGTGAGGCTTTTGACGGAACGAACTCAGCAGCTTCTCGTAAATGTTTTTTGTCTGGACAACCCACTGTAAACTGGTTTTACTGCAAAAGTTTCTATGGAAGAAATAACCCCCTTTTCTAAATTAAATGTATATTTCTTTGAGAAACACAATTGACGATTGAGTATTTTCATGATATGTAGTGAAGTGTTGTGAATAGGGTGTGGTTTATAGTTTTACAAGCCATGGCTCTCATATTTGAATGTGAGTTGTATCGCACTGCGCATGTACTGTTATATTCTGTACACACATGAACATATATTGCATGTCTGTCCATCCTGGAAGAGAATCCCACCTGTGTTGATCTTCTTGGGGTTTCTTCCATTTTTATCAGGTTTTTTTAAAGGTTTTTTAGGGTGTAGTTTTCCTTATCTAAATTGAGGGTCTAAGGACAGAGGGTGTTGTATGCTGTAAGTTCCTTGAGGCAGAGTTGTGATATTGGACTACATAAAAAAAATGCCATAACTTGACTATCATTTAGGCTATGACTAATTAAACATCCGTCAGCTTCAAGTGCAGTTCATCAGGATCTACTGCACTTTGCCGGCCTGTACCTTAAGCAAAATACCATGTTACTACTATGTTATCTCATCGGATGAGATGACCTATGGCCACTGCAGCAAGGACTTGATACATGGGGCACCAGCTCTACCATGTGAGCTGTCAGGGCACCTCAAATGCCAGACTTTTTATGTGAAGATGAAAACTATATTATTTTCATCACTATCTTGTTACTGTTTACATTCTCCCAGACTCAAATTCAAAAATTGCACTGCATAATTATTTTCTGCCCTGAAGGGACAAATCAAACACTGGCTCTAGATTTTCACACGCTCCGGAGCCACAGTTTCTCCTTTGTGCTTGAAAGGAAAGGATGAAGCAACGGAGTTTCAATCTGCAACAGATGCCGCTAAATCCAACACACTGGACCTTTAAAGACACATTTATAAACAAAATGTGGCCTTTAGTAACCCAGCTTTATTAAATCACTTTTTAGAGAGAATTTATCTTGTTTGTTCTCTCTCCTAAACACTATTAACAGTCCAGAGTTTGATGTTAATTAAGGAAATGTCACAAAGTTACAATTTCCAACATATTTGTTTCATTCATCATGCCTAACCATCATTGTCACACATTTCTTGAGAGGACGAAGTCATTATCATTATCAGTGACTTACAACTTTACATTCTCATCTCTCAGCCATCAGGTGTAATCTGGTGTAATCATATTACAAGACTTCTTCATGTCCTTAAATAAAAGGGGCTTTGATAACTCTTTCATTTGACATAGTTAGTAGGACTAACTAAAATCCATGTATGTACAGTAGCTGTTAGTAATGAGTTACAGTTCAGTTTTCTTCAGGCCACTGGCACAGACAAACTGAAATTCCGATTAGCTTTGTAGGAAAGAAGCATCAGTTTGAAACATCAAATTCAATGATATTCAACATGTAAATGCTTTTAGTAGTATTAAAATCTCCTGTCTTAAGGTTCCAAACATAGGCAGCTAACCTTCCTAAGGTGCAAAGGTGCATGTACTTACATAAAGTGCTAACAGTAATAACAGTCATAGTATTTAACAGAAAACAAGAAAGAGATACAGAGCACCTTGAACACAACATATTCAATCTCACATTTGTCTAAATTCCAGTTGTAGTGCTACGTTAGTGTAACAGAATCTCCAAAGTGCGTAAACTAACATATTACAGTACATTGCCATGTACAATGCATATCATTTACACTGTGTCTGTGTCTTTTACTCCAGTACTGCTGTCAGTTTAACAGGAAATGTTAAAATAAAAGCTTGGGGGCGGGGATTTTGTGCGTTTGAGGTTAACCTTAGCATTACTCATTGGTGTTTTTACTGCAACAGAAGCAAACTAAGTTGAAACTCAAAGTCATACGACAATTCTCAACCTTTTTGGTGTCAAGGACCCCCAAACTGCCACACATTAGGCCACAGACCCGTATTTGACAAGATTTAAACTAAACTGTAGATGAACAGTGAAGAGTGTAAAACCTATGAACATACAGCCTCCCCCAACAGCAACCCTTCCCCGTACTCCTTCATGTACCCCTAACAGTGGAAAATACACATTCATACTCACTGACACTTTCACAAACCTTTCTGTGTGTGATTTCACATTGAGTACTCAGGGGGAGATCCCAACAAGCCCACCAAGTTTTCCGTACTCTCCACTGCTTCTTTTGTTTTCTATCTCTGATTTTTATGATTATTTTTTTCCTGTGTGAATAAATAAACCAAGCTGTTATTTTTGTGTCTACAGTATATGATCCAAAACACATACATTAGCTGCAGTTAGGCAGTGTGTTATGCCGACATATGAATACAGTCAAACCAGTGTAAAACATATGACAGTGACAAACTTGAAGTTGATACAACAGTAGTCTGCAGTCTTCCATATTTGCTTTCTGCGTGATTTTGGTGCTACTGGGACCCACATATCTTTCTGATACAAGTTCAAAACAGTCTAAAAAGACAGTCTCCCAAGTTGTGTTGATATGTTGTTTCATTGATTTGCTGTTGACACTGACAGCAAATCAGTCTTCTGTGCATTGCACTCTACGAAATGCTCCCTTCTGTTCACACGTTGCTGATGCGAACACTGAGAGGAGTCTCTCTGGCCCGGCCACGTTCGTCCCCTCTCTCCCTGTAGCTCTGCTCCAATCGAATCTTGTCCGGATCGCACACCTCAGGTACAGTCCCACCCCCGTTGCTCTGGTACACTTGCTGGGGGCTAGATGGTTTGAAGATGGGCGTGGTCTTGGTCTTGGCCACCTTGTCGAAGAAGGCGAAGTCTGCTACGTATTTGCCTGATGGGGAAAGGGAGACTACAGGGGGAAACTCATAGCCCCAGAGAATCTCATCCGGTAGGTAGGAAGTGCGAACCTGGCAAGTGGCGGAGGTCGGCTCAACTGTAGCGCTCATGATCACCAGCAGCTCAAAGTCTGCCAATTCTGGATCTGTCCAGCCTCCACCTAGTGGAGGTAAATGAGATGGGAGGAGATGATACATTACAGGGGGGTAAAGGAAGAAGAGGCAGAAGGTAAAAAGGAAAAATGGGAGAGGAAGGAGGAAACAATAACACATACTAAACTTAAAAGATACACATTGTAGTTTTTGACCACCAGTAGTGCACTGTCGTTATAAGCAGGTTCCCATGTTATACGTATCCCATGGATGCTCATGAGGATGCACATATGCACACGCATGTGAGAGACTCAAGCAAAATATAAAACTTTGTCATGCAAGTGGATAAAAATGGTTCACACCATCTGAACCAACCACTAAAAAGAGGAAATTTAGGTCAGAGATATGCAGTTTACCAGCCGTCACATGATTTCTTAGTAATGTAATAATTTCTAAAAAAAAAGTGAGGAAGTGTTGCTGTAGCTGGCAGAAAGCAACTTTATATTAACAGACTATAGTGTTGTAGAACTTATGTAACATAAGATTACCGTATAGGGTTATCTAGAGAGATTACCTTTTTCCTAGCTTTGTCTGAGGGGAGGCCAATAGTCCCAGACTTTGAAACCCCCTGGATTACTCTACAGTAAACAAAAATGTCCTTCTGAACACATGAAGTGAAAATATGCACTCTAGCTATCATGTTCCTTTTTTTTTTTTCTTTTTTGCACCCTTCATCCTTGTTGCCATTTTGGGCCACCACAATTACAGCTGTGGATCTCATTTTATAAAACCATATTGTTTGATTGACTCAGCATAAGTCAAAAGATTGCAAAGATAAAACACCTTGTACTTACGACACTACCACCACCCACCAAATCTCCTGCCCTCACCATCAAACTTACCCTTGGCTGCCCAGGCTCGCAGAGGGCTGTTGTCATCGATGAGGTGGTAAAACGTGAGGGGCAGGATGAGAAAGGGGCTATCACTGGATGTGTCAACTTGGAAAGGTACATTCCTCTGGTCTAGACGAACCGTCTCGCCTTCCTTGGTCAGGGACGTCTGGAGCAGTTTTCCAGTCACCTGGGAGGGAACAATGTGCACAGGTTGTTTTGGCTAAATTGGTTCCCAGTTTGAAACATTGCCCATACACCAACCATACCAACACATATTGTATTGTGGCCTTTTTTGATTTTATTCCATTATTTCCTATTTAACTGTCAATTCTTTTAGACAAACTAGTAGAATTTATAGAAATGGTGGAAATATCAGACGAATTATGTATATACACACTCACCTGACACCCAATCAGGAGACTCTTGCGCATGTTGGCCACCCTGATCATCAGGCAGGGTCGGCCTTCCTGGGTCGACACCACAGCATGTTGGCTAAACTTCACTGTTTCACCCCGCTTCTTTGGCCGAGCAACCTGAGCAGAGAAATCAGTACTGGTTTCAGTCTCATAATCTTTGAGAAGAGAGATATATACTTGCTGTTTAAGCACACATTCATTTCTGAGGACGTGCACAACCAACGGGCCAAATGGATTTATAGGATACGTCATCATGCGTTAAAAGCAAGTATCTCCAACCTAAGAGTCTTGCTCTCAGCATAAACACAGATGATTGCAAACTGCAAGGAATTGTATACAGTTGTGATTGAGTTATTTAAAGGTCCATTGTATAACATTTAAGAGGATCTATTGGCAAAAAAGGAATATAATATTCATAGGTTATCATAGTCTCCATGGAAGGCGACCAAAAATTTAACAATTTCTTTATTCAGGTGATTATATACTAATGAAAACATACCTATGAACATTATAGTACATTTCTGCCAATAGATCCTCCTAAATGTTACACAGTGGACCTCTAGGGAAGGATGTTCTGCTTTTCCTTGTAAATGCTTTTCACTGTATCTCACTTTGCAGCTCAGTGTGTTATGTTATGGCTACCTTGGCCAGGAAGGTACCAGTGATGAAGATCTCTAGCAGCATGGTGAGGACCAGCTGGATGATGAGTAGGATGATGGCAGCCGGACATTCCTCAGTGATGCAGCGAAAACCATAACCAATGGTTGTCTGGGACTCCAGAGAGAAGAGGAAAGCCCCTGTCAGTGTCTGCATCTGCAGCACACAGGGTGTGTGGTTTGACGGAGGGTCAAATTCTAGAGGAACATGGTTGAAAAGGCAACAAAAGCTCATTGACGTTATTCTATGTTATGTTAACATAACAG